AGAATACAAATCAAAAAGACAATCCCTATATGCACACTAGTGTATAAACACAGCTATAATAAAAATTTTACTTATAGAATATTTTTGAGGCTCTAACAACACTATAAAAAAGGATTGTATAAAATTAGTATAATATTTGTGCTAGATGTGTGAAATTGTGCCATTCTGTCTAATTTTTGTCTGATGTTATTTTATTTGAAATAAACCAAAAACTTAGACAGAATGGACATATTATTTTTTATAGGGCAAAAAGATTCTTGCAAAATTTTAGTATCAACTATTGCTAAAAAGTTAAATAACAGTTTTAATTTTTTACTATAAAACCAATAAATTGTTGTAATTATATTTGAAAATTTTGTTAATAATATTTGTATTGTTAATAAAAGTAATACATATTTATAACTAAAAAAACCTATATAGCAGTATTAGCTTAATTAAAAGCTATTAGTTTTGGTTTTAAATATAAGATTTAAGTGATATTATATGAGTGTCGCTAAAAGAAAACCCGACAATTTAAATATGATTTATATTTAAATTTTCGGGTTTTCTTTTAGCGACACTCATATATAGTGACTATCGAAGAAGATAGCTGCGTACATATCTAATGTCGTATAACCTTCCCGGTCGTAACAGTGACAGAAAAAAAAACAAGATTTTTGCGATATAATAGGACTAGGTTTAGCCATTTTATTTCATATCTAACTTTGTATGATCATGTAATGGTAAATTTTATAAGTCATAACAAGTCATATGGTAATAGTCCAACTAGTCAATAGTCCAACTAGTCAATAGTCAGAGTAGGACCTAATACTAATAATTAGCTTTTCTAATAAGGGCGCTGACATTAACCCTCTATAATATTTTTTGTCTGCATGTGGTAGATCATTACTGGCTTGGAACCATTTTTGCCCGCGTGTTGTAGATCGTTTCCGTTTGGATTTGAGGCTGTATGTTAATCTCTTTTTTAATTGGATTCACCACTGCTCGTGATGCGCCATATTTCCTTTTTGATCTAAAAGGATAAGATTTTCGTCAAAGAATTTTATATGTTCTTATCTTGATCTATTTGATCAATTCTATAACGCTATATGTGCTATATGCGCTATATGTGCTATATGTGCTATATGTGCTATATGAACATGCCCCCCAACTTTTTTTATCGTATTCAGGTTGTATTTATAAGATTTAATTCAATTAATAAAAAAAGATCAGGTTATGTCAATCGGATTTCGGGTTGGCCCGAAAATTTATTAAGAGTATGTAGTCACTTTTTCGAGTTGGATTGTGGGCCAACCCGAATATGACCTGAAGCCTTCGGATAGGCCCGACTTGATCAAGAGCTTTCGGGGTTTAACCTAGATCGCACCCAAAGATGTCAATCACCTGATGAAAAAACGCGTGACTGGAATTTACCAGGAACGCAGTATGAAGTACACAGATACCAGGAACGTAGTACAATTCACTCTCGTTAGAGTAAATTCTCGTTATAGTATAGTGAAGATAAATCCCAAACCAGTCTATATACGGGAATGTGCGATTCAATCAGATGATCGATTCTTGAATTTCCATATTTGTACATCGTATGATCGGTCATGATCATGATCGATACTGAATTTTTAAATTTTGGCCAACGTAGTTCTTTAGTCGGGAAATCAATGTGCAGATTATTATTACCAGGAACGTAGTGAAACGAAGAAGTGTATGATTTACAGCCAACTAACTGTGTACAAAATCTTAGATCTTATTGGGCAGCATGATCTTGTTATGTGAAATTATTTTGTAAAAATCTACAAGTTTTTAACTTGTATTAATCTGGTACATACAATTGAGAAAATTACGTTTATATTACGTACGTTGTGAAAGGGTAGATCGTTGCTTGTAATGGATTTTCCATATTTTGATAGGTCGGATGCATATTAGATTTAGCAAACTAGAAGGATTTGGCTCGTTTGTATGCTGAGGTGGCTCAGATAGAACCTAGCCAAAGATAGTAAGTGGAAGAAAATCCTTATCGTAATGGTAAAATTCACTTTAGTGGATTTAGCGCATTTAGCGAATTTCGCGAATTTAGCGGATTTAGTGTATTTAGTCGCTTTAGTGGTTTTCGTGCTTTTCGAAACTTCCTTAGAATTATGGCTTTATCTAGATAATTTATATTGTACAGAGTAACGATGTAAAACTATAAAAGGGATGCTTATTTGCTCGAAAATAAAGATAGCTTTGGAGAGTTCAAAAGCTCTAAGTTAAAGAAATCAGAGTATTTAACTTAAAATAGTGTAAAACTCTGTTGAGTTCGAAGTTCCAAGTTAAAGAAATTAGAGTATTTAACTTGAGAGTAGTAAGTTCTTTAAGTAGAAGCGTTTGTTCTACTAACCCCCCCCCCCCCCCCCGCCCCGCAAGCGACTCCCAAAGAACAAAAGACAGCACAACCCCCCCCCCACCGCCTATTGGAAGAGTAAGGTCTGCAAGAGCGGCCCAGACCC